CGGTCGTTGATGACGCGGTTTATGAAAATAGGTTGTTCGGTTTCAAGTGGATAGACAAGTTCTCAAATAATTCTAGCTAAAGTATGTCCATTTCACAACCAGGGAGTATTATAATTTTCAATGTATATAGGAGCAATGCGCGATCACTTCTAATGTTCGCCGCTACGTAGTTGGATAAATGGAATTGTGTGAGTTATTTGTTTTACATATAATGCCAGTTTTCTCCATAATAAGTTATGTTTGTATGGTTGGATGGGTAGGTTGATAAAAAAAAAACATATCGTTACATTTTCATATAATTGCATTTAATAAATACTAAAACATAAATACGTTACACGGTGGGAAACGCGTTTCATGTGTTCAAACAGAACTATATCCTATGGCAACGCAGTCGACATCCGTCTTTATCCGTCGCATCATATAGTTGTCCCTGAAACAGCGCTGAAAAAGAAATATGTAAGTCAGTGTTACACTAATTTCCATAATACACGGCATTACACAACTATGTTATGTGACTATACAAGATGTTAAATTGCGTCACATTATATTGCATTACTATATAATACACTTATTATTTCATGCTTTAACGTAACAATACAATACAGTGTACTGGAATATAATATGATACACAATATATTATATCACTTCTTAGTGTATTGTACTACTAATACAGTACATCGAGTTTATACTAGCTGTATCGCGTTACACCATGCCGTAATATTACACATTATTTTCAATCACGAATTCGAACCTACCTCATACATGGATAAGCATCACAGCTTTATTTTTCTTCAAACCTAGTAATTAAAAAAAAAATAATATTGTCAGATGCCCGTGCAATTGTCCGATACGTTACGCCCTTTGTCGACAGCGATCAAGTAGTTTTTTTCATGATCAGAAACTGGGGGCGCTGTTTACCGCTACGAGTGTGAGTACAACGATATAATTTGGTTACCTACCAATCATTTTCCATGTCCTCGTCCTCCTGGAGAAATCTGCAAAATTTATCACAACAAATCACGGTTATATTTGTAAACAATGATAAATTCCGTTGTATTAGTGTGATTTGAAAGAAATACACAACCTTATTCTCAGAAACTATCATATTCTCGTTGCTGATTCCAGAGTCGATTCCATCTCAGACCCCCAGCGAACTGATTATAAGTTTCCCGCGTACTACCATTATGACAGCACACACAATGGAAGTCATTGCATGTCTTTCTCGGAATTGAATCTGTACTGATTCCTTGTGTTGATTAATACTCAAGTCTGAATAAAGAAAACGTCAAATGAGAGGTGCATACACCGCCCCATGTTGATATACCGTATATGACTATATAATTTAGACTTGCAAAGTTGGGACTTCTTTTTTGTTTTACCAAAAAAAAATATAATTAATTGTCAATTTGGCCTTATTAGCATGATCACAAAAATATTTGTTTTTAATTAAAAATTACACCTATGTTTGAAAAAATCTCCCCGACTATGGCCAGTCTATACATAATTGTTCAATGTCAGAGCAAATGTCTGTGAAAATCAAACAATGGTGGCAGGGGTCAAAAAATAGATTTGGCTCATATTTTGCACAGTGATAATACTTGGTCCACAACCCCTCAAAATAGCTTTCTTTTAGATCAAAACTCCGTGTTGCCATGGTAACGGGCGAAATTTTTGTTCAAAAACACGGAAAATAGGATACTTTACGGCACTGTCTCGGCAACACCTTTAAACCTATCATAAAAACAAAACAAGATCTGAATAGACCAACATTTTGGCTTTTTCAAAATTGTTGTGAAATTTCCAAAAATTGTTTTCGGCCCAACTTTGTAACGCTATAAGTGCCGCTCTGGTATTTTTTTTTTTTTTTTTGACTTGAAACTTGTACTATATATTGATCATTAGAATATCTATTAAATGCATTGTTGCAAAATTTGGTACATTGTTTGGTTGTCACGTGACTGTCCCTTAAAGTAGTGAACTTTTGACATGTTCAAAGTACGCTACATGACGAAGTAAAATATATTTCTAATTCAACTTATTATCAAAGGTGAATCTATGTATTGCCTATCTAACGAATGCTTGCATAGTTTCGGGTTATGACGTTCGGTCACGTGGTTGTCCCTGAAAGTAGGCGATTTTTTGAATTTGAATTTTAGCTTTGTTCAACGAACGCTACGTGACGAAGTGAATAATAATTCTAATTCAACTTCCGGTTCAACTTCTATGTATTGTCATGTGGAATTAAATTTTCGTCACTTCAGAACGTTATCTTAGAATAATGACATATGTGGAAATAGGTGAATTGGATTCTGGGTATTTCGAGGGGATCAACTCATTGACAGGAGTAACAATATTTACATGCGATCTCATCACGTTACCTTGCCTGTGGAGATCCTGCTTCGTCGTCGTCCACGGTGAAAATATCTTGGTCTACGTCTCTGCCTTTATTACTACGACGTCGGTTGCCGCTACCCCTACACGAACAGAGTTGGAAATTAAATAAACTTGGTGATCCATCTGTCCCATAAAATGATGTTATTGATAGCCAGTAATTACAAACTAGTTTGTTTTACCAACCAGTAAACAAATTGCTTCAGAAAAAAAATTTCCCTTATTTCAAGAAATATTTTGTATGACTATTTGGTGTGGTTGAAAGCTATATACAACAACAAAATTGCATAATGTTACAAGTCATTTCAACATTAGCATTTGTTCTTGCTATTATGTATAGCCCATCATCAGATTGATATTTAAAACGTGTACAAATGTGGTATTCATTGTTCCTTCCATTGTCTGATAAAATGAGATACGTCCATGAATTCATAGTCGTCAATAGTTTTTTATTCTTCATAGCTTTCAAATCACGTGTATGGAGTAGAACCCGCAAATATATCAGCTGGAATTCACTTTATTTATATATAATTAATATATTTTAGGCGTAATCAAAATAAAGTTGCATCCCCACGTGTCTAGTACTTGTTGTCAGTTCAGCTTAATATTTCACAGATGGTGCATCATTAATACAAGTTGCGCCCTCTATAGACGAAGCTCTCCCGTGACGTAACTGCGTAACACGACTCTCAGCACACAATCACGCACAGTTGTGACTTTAGACTAAGAAATTAACTCTATACGACAAATTCCCGAGAAATGGATAATACTTATCATTATACATCTGTCACCGTAACGCCATAATTTACAGCGTGCCGTAATTTTGCGGTATTGCACTGGGTATTTTCACCGTACCATATTAGGAAATGCGAATTCCAATTATGGAACTATTACAGGCGTAAGCGTCCACTAATGATAAAAAAACAAACATGGCTTCCCCAGAGTTTGATCGGATCCCATAAAAGAAATTCGCTCAATCTGTTCTAAACTTTTTGTATTTCAGCATTCCCATGAGGTATCTTTTGGAGGAAAAGATGTATAAATAATAAGCATCTTGAATTTCCAATGTGAATGTTCCGGCAAGGCACTCCACTATCACCTTGAAGTATTTCATTAGGACTATGTGTATGTGGCAATGCCCCTCACAGTTTAGAATCAGTTTACCAACAGCCAATCATATTGTTTCTTTCTTCAACGCGCTTGGCCAACGCTCCACGTTGCTATTTAAGACGCACACCACTCTACCATGTATTTCTATGGGCTCTGCGTGAGCTGATGTGAAACACCGATCGAAAATAGCTAAAATCGAGAAAACAGCACAAACTTAACTTTGAAGGAAATCCTAAACAACCAAATTTAAATATGTTGCATATGTAGGGGTAATCTTGTTACACTGTTCAGGGGGTGTCAACAACCATCCCAAAATACCGAGAATTTACTGGCCTTTGTTTCGAGTGTGGTAATAGTGTTGTCACCACTGTTGAGTATTATAGAAGAGTAGGTGTTATACCTCAAAGCTCATGATGTCACTGCAACACATATCGGTAGAAATGAAGCCGAAGACATCAAAAATGCAAAGCTTCAAGCGCTTTCTACCAGTCATTATAACAAACCTTTCTATTGGTCGGTAAACTTTCTATTGCGCAACCACGTGACATACACAGTTAGGAATAGAATTGCCGCACGGTGTTGTAGAGGGAGGATTGTCCGAACGTGAACAAGACCGTGCAGGCGAACGATGAATAATAAGGTAATTACGAGGAAACCGAAAAGTATGCACTCAGACAGTACACGGTCGCATCGAACTCCGCGGTATCCTCGTAATAACCTCATATTACATAAGATCACAAATTACCTTGCTACTTGTCGTTCTTCTGGGTCCGCGTCTCTGCCTCGGCCACCGCCTCGGCCGCCGTTGTTGGAACGTCGTCGGTTGCTATCAGCCCTACATAAAGAACGTATAATGCACTATAAAAGAACCTCTGAAAAGTACCACCCTAGATGAATTGTACTCAATATTTTGAATCTAAGCATTAATTGTCTACTGTAAAATAGACAATAAAAGAAATCGCAGCTTTTCATACGTATCAACAAATAGTACATTATAAGGTCTAAGGCGCGTTATTTGTTCTATTGTGGAATTTTTTGTTATTCTAACTTATAGTTCATGCGCGTTCTTACGTTCCTATGTTCTACCTGTACGTTATTACACTTTCTTCTATGCTATCGATAAAGAGCCATTGCTCGAAACGTCTAGCTATTTTTAATAGTTATTTAGGACTACGATTACCAAATATTATCTTCTATATAACAAATAGTACAGTAGTGGTATTCAGGAAATGAAGGGAGATACGCCGTCTAATAAGGATTCATTATTTAGGCAAACATTTCCATCCGAACCCTGTTATCAAGTATTTATGAACAGTGTAGAGTTATTTACATTATTTAGTGCCTAAGTGTCTAAAAATGAAATTACAATAAAGAAATTTATCGTGTTATTAGCGCATCGAAATCAAGCTCATATTGCAGTTGAAAGTCACGGTGACCTTGATTGAACAACGTGAAAAACAGCAAATTACTCGTTTTCGTACGTTCTTACATTGACTTCAAGAACTCCCCAGTTATCTTCTGATAACTGGACAGAGCGTACGTGGACACCAATCACGGTATTATAATTGTTCATAACGGTACGATGCTCCAAAACGATTGCCTCTTGTGCGACACAGTTCAAAATTGCTTCTTTTTTGTAAAGCATACTTACTGTGCAAACATGTCAGCCAACAGCACAATCAATACTAGAGAGAAAACGATGATAACGTGCGTCCTCATTTTTCCTTAAACTGAAAAATGACACATTATTATAAGATTTTCAGAAAGCTGCTAGCAAAATTACCATAGTTGAAACAATTCAAAATCATTATAGTACAACATTGCCAATGTTAATACATTGCAGTATAGACGGTACTTACCTGAGTGGTGTTCCTGAAGTTCTCCGAAGCCGGTTCCACTTAATCTGAGCGTATCGTGCCTAAGTCGCTGTTCCCATATCCATATATATGCATGTTTGGTAGAACCACGTGTTTTCAATAAAATTCACCAACATAGTCTCGGTGCGCCAGAAATGCCGTTGTGAAATGAATAACTTTTTATTAGAAATAAAAATAAATTATAGTAACCTGCATGTTCGTAAAAATATATTGCTCCATTTATGTTTTTCCGAGTTTAACAAGAGTGTAATTTAGGTTTTATTTATATTTAACACTGCGATGAAGACTTCCCGTTTTCGACATTGTGAAATTCTTTCGTTTTTATGCAGAAAACTCCAGTATTTTTACCAAGTACAATCCTATTTATTATTTTTTTTGTTCATAAATGAGTTGTTGAACACACTAAATAGTTTGTAATTTTATTCAGCTTCTTTCCATCATAATTCAAGACAAATTAAAGCCAAAAATATAGAGAATAAAAATTAATAATGAATAATCTTTTTTTCTGTAATATTCTTTTTTATTCGGTAATTATATGAAAATTACTTACGGGAGCATAGGGAATACGTTTCGTTATGAATAATTCTTAATAAAAATTGTTGAATTATTTTGTCAAAATCAGTTTTTCCAGTTTTTTTTCTCCCGAAATGCGTAAGAATTTCACAATGTCGAAAACGGAAAGTCTTTACCGTAAAATTTAGTTATATAACCAGTATGGCGGTAGTTACTAATAGAGTGTAGTGCAGTGTATTGGGCTAATTGTTACCTTTGAGCGTTGTTTCAGATGGGAACACGTGCGTATTCGAGATCGGTCACCGTTCTTTCGAATTACAATAAGCGCGCCACGTGATGTAAAAATAATTAGGGTTGCCCAAAACATACGTTAGCCACTAAACTATGTTTCATGTGCGAGGATTAATTGCACTAGTTTTGCGCGTTAAATATATGTCAGTTGATAAAATTATATTGCCAATGACAAGGCCGAATTAACCTTGAAATTGCCGAAGCATCGCTACCTTGATATACACGCCGATTGTGCCGACAGCAACAAGATACGCTACATACTTGTCATGGCGATATGTATCTTTAGTAGGTACAACTTGGTTACTGATTTCCGTTTAGTTTTCTTACTTTCAAAATATTTCTTCTTGGAAATCGTAAATATTCTTTTAGGCGGAATTGTCGGCGATTCCTTACATCTCATTTGATTTAAATTATTACGGGTTATATTAATGAGATATTCTAGCAAACGCTTTCCGGATAGTGGTAAAACAACGATGATGAATTAACGGTGTGAACACAGTCAGTGGTATTTATAGTGCGTGGAATATTGTGACACACCCGGGGACTGGAATGCAGACCTCGTCTCGCTATATTATACGGAAGTCCATGGATGCTGTGATAATAGGGGAAATATTCATAATATATATAAATACTTTCAGTGGCGGCGGCACGGGGGGTGCAGAGGGGCAGTCGCCCCCTCGGTAAAAATGTTGGGGAAGGGGCGCCCCTTCAAAATCAACGTGAATTCCGTTGTGTCTGCAGAATTTGACCCTCAAAATGCAGAAAATAACGTTTCAGAGGGTCTAGATTTCATCCATGCCCCTGGACCCCCAAGTAAAGTCACGCCTTCTGCTCAAGGTTAGTGAGCAGACGCCCCCCCCCCATGAAGAAATTCATGCCGCCGCCTCTGACTTTAAACTCACTGTAACCGTCGATGATGGCTACGCCAAGTGGTCGTTTCGCTCTGCTCTGGTGTTACCGGTTGCATATGCACGTGTGTTAACCCCTGCGGTTTGCCACTGCTAAAAAAACAGTTCATTTGTCATTATTAATTCTGTTTTGCTATTTGACCATTATAATCTTCTTTATTGTTTTGTTTTTTTTGCCATATTTTGCCTTTATGGTTACACTTTGATTTCATCACGATAGCCATTATAGCTTTAAAGCCAGCCTGACACTTGCCCGATTTTGTGTCAAGTCGTGTCAGTGCGCAAACTAGTCGTAAACTGGAGTGAAGTGTGCGTAACACGTCGTGACACGTCGTGACTGCATGCCATGTCGGGACGAGAATTTTGAAATGTTCAAAATGTTGGTCACGACAAAATTTAGCGACAAAACTATGCGCAAACTGTTCGTGAACTTGTCGGGACGATGCGGGAGGATGCGTGCCAGTGCGTGGCAGTGCGCGCCATGCCACGACTGTCACGAATAGTTCACGAACAGCTCACGTCGAGTTCACGAGTAGTTTAAAACATGTTCACGAATTGGTGCGCGTCGCAGCGTGGCCGTGCCTTCCAATTGACACGGTCACGTGTACGTCACGCATTGATGGCACGAGCAGTTCACGACTAGTTGACGCACTTCACGAACAGTTTGCGCATGACACGAGCAGTTCACGACAAGTTCACGAGCAGTTTACGACGAGTTCACGAGCAGTTCACGACTACTGGACGACAGTGGCGCTCGAGTCGGTGCAGGGAGTATGGTTTCATCATCCAGGTTCGGAGAGCAAAGGCGTCATCCCCTACGAAGTGATAGGGCACTGGCTGGTCATCATTAGTGGGTGGTTCTGATTGAGGCACTCCAGCTCTGTTCTCTTCTACAGCATCATGCAGTGAACAGTTACTCCATGTTCCTTCACCCGACGCACCACCCTCTGCCCCAACATCCACATAGAGGAACTTGTAGGTAGCATCTGCCACTGCCATTAGTACAATGCTGTGGAAGCCCTTGCAGTTGTAGTAGTAAGAGCCAGCATTGGGTGGCTTCTTCATGGCGATGTGCTTGCCGTCCACAGCCCCCAGACAGTTGTGGTAGCTCCATCTGGTGCTGAACATGGTAGCAACTTCCTTCCACTCCTCTTCAGTCTCGGGCCGCGATGATGGCTTTACACACCTCAGGTATGAACTTGCAGATGGTACTTTCTTCAACCCTGAAGCTGTACTGCAGACTTGGATAGGAGCCAGCTTTAGTCCAACTTGAAGCGGTTCCCTCATGAAGGTGGACTGCTTCTGGAGGCGAGGGGTTAACTTCGCAACCATTTCTTGGAACAGTTCAGGTGTGATTCTGAGGTAATTTCTGTAGCCCCTTTGATCTTCCTTGTGGAGTTCAATCAGTAAACTGTCATACTGTCCAAACTCGTGCCTTCTGGTCAACCATTTAATGACCCACACTTTCCTTTGTGTCTTTCTTCGAGGTGGGGTTGCCTTTTCTTGCTCTTCTGCCTGCCTTTTCTGCTGCTCTTCAACAATGGCTAGAGCAGCTGCCAGGTATACGCATCTTATATTCCGACACGACACCGTCCGAATTGCGCAAACTCGTCGTGCCAATGCGGGAAGTGCGTGAACTATGCGCACAAACTATGCGTGGACTCGTCGTGCCAGTTCTTGTCAATGTGGACACTGACGGGCACGCATTCGTGAACTCGTCGTGAACTTGTCGTGAACTATGCTTAAACAAGCCTCCCAGTTCGTTCCATTCTCACTAACTTCACTAATCTGTAATACTGGTTCCCCCATAACGGCGAACGAGTGATAGTATGTCTCCGAAAGATCTGGGAAGTCGTTCCAAAATCAAGTCTCTCAGTCGAGGTTTTTAAGGCCCTCTAAGCTATTGGGAATTTGACAGTGTGATGTGATCAATGTGCTATCAACAAGACTAATGAAACGAGTGATATTGATAAACAATTAGATGAAATGAGCAGTGGAGTAGTGAAACCAGCGTGAGATCGAAACCATTATTATTATAATTATTATTTTTTATTATAAATTTTCTTTTATATTATTTATTATTATTATTTTAATTTATTATTTATTTGCTAACAGTTTTAAAAAAAAAAATATTAATCGCAGATATGTATAAAATTAAATAAAATTCACGCCGTACAATACATCAGGTTTTAATCAGATTGAGGTTATTTAAACTAATGTCCCGTCAATTATGCCGAGCCATTTCTATTTCGGGTTGTTTCGTAATGTTTTTTTTTTTTTTTTTTTTTTTATTAATTTAATTTTAATTTAATTTTTTTTAATTTAATTTTTTTTTAAAATTTTTTTTTTAATTTAGCCATATGATTATTCTACGAATCATCACTCATAAGACTGTATGAGGCATTTGACAAACGTACATGATTGTTTGTATTTGTTGTCGCAGTATAAATAATAAAAACATAAAACATGTTGTATTTCTTATTGTATTTAGGTTGTATACATGCACTTCTGGTAGCAATACTTAACTACGTAAAATACTTAATTTTCGCTTGTAATTTATTGTCCCTATTTTCGCTGAAGGCATGATATAAAATCCAGTGAATATAATTTTTTTTCCTGTGTGTTTTACATTCAACTCATCAAAAATCGGTGTAATTAAACTCCATATAAAACACCTAAAATATCCTTTCGGCGTAAATTAAAGGGGAGCAGAGGTGTGGCTTTTGACACTCTGTACATAAAATTTGAGATCTATGAATGAATTCTGTCGATAAAAACAACTTATATGTGCTGCGAAATGCCCTAAATATCGGGCATAAAACGGGCTGTGAAGCAGACGACAAACGCCTGCTTTGCCTGGCGTCATTTCGCCTCTAGAGGGCCAGTCAGATGATGTCATCAGAGAACACTGATAACTGAACCCATTCATGCTAGTACGTCAATCCCCATAGAAATGCTACTATGAAAGACCTTGTTAACTGACAACTTAAAAGTTGAAACATGGAGAGGTGTTGTGTTATGAATGCCATAACGATTCATGTTATGTTTCTCGAAATCCCAAATAAAAATTCACGTTGCTGGTTGCGAGAAATCGGCGGAAGAACTAACATGAAAGTGAAGACACGTACAGCGTTCTGGCTATAGTAAACAATGAGTGAATAAATATTGTACGACTTTTAAAACTAAATGAGAAATATGCTAATATCACTTGAACCACAGTACTCATTTTGCCCAACTTCCCACTTTTTAAACGA